TCCCTATGTAGAATCTACAAAGTGAGGGTTAAAGCCTCAAGTTCTTGTTAATTAATTTTTTCCAACCCCAAATTATCTTTTCAAAAATTAATTCAAAATTAATGAGCGAGTCCCAGAGTTAGCTAATCCTTTTGGAAACATTAACGAACAAGAATAATTAAAGAAACAATAACTCACTTCACAATAAATAAAAATCGTTCAATACATAAGCACAACAAGATATTTAATCCACACTTTAAATATGAATATTCCCATATACAAGATTCAAGTGTTAGAATAAATACTACAAACTTAGATATATAATACAAAGTAAGGAGATGAAGAAACGAACATAAATGGATAAGAAATTCTCAACCAAAAACTTCAAATCTTCAAGAACAAAGTGTGTCTGCAAGATTCCTAGCTTCCAAACTTGTGTTCTCTAGCCCAAAGACTGAAAAACAAGCCAAAGATGTTTTTCCAATCAACTAGGTCATATATTAAAGGGTTAGGGGACAAAAAGTGTGAAAATACAGAATTACCAAGAATTGAAGCGCGATCTTCGCATATGCTAATTAGTATTCTCATTTGCGAAGAATGACTTTCCTGTTGACTATCACATTTGCAATAAAGACTTCACATTTGCGAAGTTTGACTTTCTGGTTTGACTTCGCATCTGCGAAGTCCTTTTTTTCATTTGCGAACACTGCTTGAATGGGTAGACTTTGCATTTCTGGTGTCCTTTTTCGTATCTGCGAACACTGCTTTCTTCGCATTTCCAACATCTATGTCACAATTGCGACATCTGAGGCCATTTTCCAAATTTTCTTCTTTCAACTTCTTTTTGACTCATTTCCCCTTGGTTTCTTTGTGATCACTTCTAAATCGGATAAAACCTATAATATAGAAGTAAACGACATTAAACACATGATTTTATCAATCAAACATTGCATAAATCTAAGCTTAAAGACAAGGTAAGTTGGTAAAATACCAACTTATCAATTGGTTTAGCACTCTATAGTTATACATGAGATAGACATTTAGACTTTTTGATGCAGATAAATATAGATAGTAACCGTTTAGACAGTAGCATTCAGATGCATAGCATTCAGACGCAGAGTGTTCAGACACATAGCATTTAGATGTATGAGTGTTTAGACACATATCGTTCAAACACATTAAGACCGTTCAGACAGATATACATATTTGGGCGTGCAAATGTCATTGAGTGAGACATCGTTCATGCACTTATATAGATTATGATAGTATGTATACAAATATAAGAGACACCACATATAGATCTAGTATCACTAGTATGATAACCGATTCAGAAGTAAGCGATGCACTTTAGTTATATTTCGATCTTCTTTATGTTACTCTTTATTTCAGTAAGGATGGCAGTTCCAGATATGACATGTGTTTCATATGTATTCTCAATCCTTCTGACATACTTCATTGACTTTCTTGTTTCTTGTACTGTCTTTCTAGGCTAACATATAGATAGTTTAGAGAAGTGGTTGTATTTCAGCTATATTATTACTGTCCATGATGTTACCTAGTTTATTTATGATTATATTTCTACCTTACATACTCAGTACATCAGTTGTACTGGCGTCCCTTTCTCCTAAGGGGATGCTGCGTTTTCATGCCCGTAGGTCTAGGTAGTTCGAGAAAAGACAAACATCAGTAGGATACAGGTAGCAGACTCAAAGACACTTCATTGTTCTGGAGTTGCGAGTACAATGGTATGTCTAGTTGTATAGATGGGTTTGGCGGGGCCTTGTCCCTTCCTTATGTTAAGTTAAGCAAATATTCTTAGAAGACTTATAGACACGAATCCAGTGGTTTTGGTAAAGTTTGTACAACAGTCATGTTAGGTCTTATCGTCCATCTAGTTGTATAAAATCCTTGGATATAGTATGTTTCCATTTTAAAGCTTTATTTATGATTTTAATAGTTTATCTATGAGTATGCGATAGCAGGTTATTGGTAATCGGTAGTTAGTTCCAGTTTTCGTCGCGACCATAGGATAAGGTCGTGACAAAGCCACGGCAAGAAAGGAAAATAAAATGTGGCCATTTGCCAAAATGAGAGTAATGTTGTGTTGTAAGTCCCCAGGGACAAATAAAAAAAATGCCTTCATAAATTTCTTTATGTCAAATATTATTGGGAGTATCGTTATGTCCCGAGAAAGGGTGGGTTGTAAAGGATTAAGCCCGAAACTACACATGTCAATGTAAAATATGATTGGGAGACGATTCCCATTCATAGTTTAATGAGACTATTCTCCTTAATTGGGATAAATTGGTTGCTAGAAAAGACCATGCCGACCCACACGACATTGTGGTGAGATGGCCTAGCCAATTGGGCTAACATCATACACCATATCGCGTATATGGTTGTTTCACAGTAGAAACCCCATACATTGGAATCAGACGGCTTAGCCGATCGGGCCGAGATCGGACTCTATGCCACAAGCATGATGGTGTGTCGGTAGCTACTGACCTCCAACCAAATTGTTAATGCCTATTTGAGGATTTTACTTATGTACACTTGCTTTCTTTATGTTTTAACATAATATTTTCATTACTCTCGATTTTCACTCAAATCCCATGATTATATCTCCTTATGTTTCTATTCTATTCCATGTGAGGGTACTTAGCTTACATACTATTACAATTCCATATGTACAAACATCTTTTTTGTAAAGGACAATGCATCTTTAATGGATGGTTATGGTACCTCAGCAGGTGGCACATGTTCTCGACAGTTGTACCATACTCTCAGCTAATTTAGGCCTTATGTTGTTTAATCCTAGTACATTATAATTTGTGGTATATCCGTGGGCTTGTCATCAGCACTACCATACTATTCTTTTGTTTATTTAGAGGCTCCATCGACATATTGTGATCGTGTTTTGAATTTGGGGAAACAAAAAAATGATATTTTTGTCGGATGCTTCCACTTTTGAACTATGGACTTGTATTGTTTTGTTATCGACCAGCGAAACCCCATTTGTTGAATAAAAATTAGTGTTGGGTATTCCTATCTTCTCGATTGATGGTTACATATTATTTCTTTTTGAATTATTCATGGGTAATGCTGGTTGGTAGGCACCACGTGGGCTTGCTTGACTGAGTTACTTCGGTTCAGCGCCAGTCATGCTTCCCAAGGTCGGGACGTGAAAAAAGGTGCAAAGCGGATTCTGGGAGCATAAGAGCATGTGAACATATGAATATCACGGAGGACCAGAGGGGCATCGGTATGTTAAAAAAATGAGTCACGAATCTATATAGTAAAGTCTTGTTGAAAGAAATCACAGAGGTTCGTTGTAATTTTTACGCTCTTGAGCAATAAAGTTTTTCACGTAATTTTTTTTATTTATTTTCGCACTTTATTTACTGCAAGAGCAGGTTATACTAGTACAAAGAACACGTTCCTTCTACGTAAGTTCAATAGTTGGGTATATTAGTAGGCAAAATTTGAATAGATAAAAAATCTATTAACACAATATTCACCCTCTCTAGCGTCTAAATGATATGCCAAACTAATCGTTTCTAATTAAATCAGGATACTATAACCTTAAAAGTTAATTTATTTTCTGAGCTGATTATGCGCCTTTCACTAATTATATAACTAGGTAGACAACATCCAACTGCCGCGACCTAAATGAGCACAAAGATGTGTATTACCAAAAATAGTTTCCCTTCGCTCACTTTCATCATTTCATTAAACATATTCGTTATTGTATTAGGAACAAATATTTCACCGCACTTCCATATATATTAGTTCAACATTTTAAAATAATATTTGGAAATTATTCTAATTAAGTGTTTGTTTATAATAACGGCCCATTACTCAAATTCAAACTTGAAATATCGAGTTTGAAATTTGAAAAATAGATTAAAGAAGATTTTCAAGTTTGCTCAAATTTTCACTTACAATACTTCAATTGTGATTTTATGTTCTAACAAAACAATCCTCAAATATTACATTTTTCAAATATCAATCAATTCATATCCAAATCAATATTCAAATTTTTATAAAAGGAAAGAAGTAGTGGATTGAGCAGGGAAATAAGGGGGATATATCTTTATCCTTCAAAAGATTGGCGGCGGGGGCACTCTCTCCCGAAAATATTTTGTAAGTAATATGCTATGTTATGGATGGTGAAAACTGTAGTATATAAGATAACTCTAAAAATTATAATATTCAAGTAGAAAAAGAATAAGTGACAAGTCAACACGAAGAAGCCCTAGCTTTGGCGATCTGGCGATTGCGACACTACCACAAGAAGCTCTCGTGAGACTTTAATGGCTAATCCAATCCAAAATTATGCGCAATTATTACAACACAAAGCATTGAATGCACCAATGCAAACCCTAGCCCAAACCCTAGACCAAATACCTATTAAACCTTTCGAGTTTTTACACGGGGAGCCTATAATCAAGTGAAAAAAAAAACATGAAGTAAAACAATCGATCGTGCAACAGGGATTACAATTAGTTGTTCTTGGAAAATTTTCCTATGGGAAGCTTGTGATCACAAAATTACTTAAAGTAATTCCTATACAGTGTGAACTGAAGGGAGGCCGTGCTATTGGCTTAATTGAGATAATCATGTGTTGATACGATTATCATTGTAGGAGGATTACATTCATCTCTTATCTAAACAAGCATTTTATTTGAAATCCCATGGAGATATGTGGCAGATAAGATGTACGAAGTGGAATCCATGATGGAAACCTGACGAAGAGACTCTGGTTGCTATAGCTTGGATAAGTTTTCCAGAGCTGCCTCCTAACTTCTTTGGTAAGAAGTTCGTTTTCTCTTTGGAAAGTGCAGTAGGTACTCCTTTACATGTTGATTTTGCCACAGAAAATTGTACTAGACCAAGTTGTGCTAAAGTAAAAGTTGAAGTCAATTTTCTATCCAAAATTTCCACAAAGAATTAAGATTGCTGAAGAAGTAGATTAGTTTGGTCCCAATGATTTTAAGTGGATCAAAATCAAATACGATTATATGCGTAAATATTGTAGAACATGTAAGAAGCAATGGCATAATGAGCAGGAGTGCTGGGTGATGAATCCAGAATTGCACAGGAGATTTGATGAGGAAGTTGAGAAAGATAACAAGGCAAAAGAAATTGTAGGCACTGCAGCTAATACTACCAAGGTACTAACCAATAGAAAGGTACTTGGGAAACCTATTGCTAATCCGGCATGACAAGCGTGGATGCAATGAAGAAAGAATAGGTATGAAAGAGACAAAAATGGCTAAATAATTGAGGAGAACAAGGAGAAGGAAGTTGGCAAATTGAAAGAAAAGGAAAAGGAAGATGTAGTACCAACCAAGAACAAGTTTGATGCATTAGAAGTAGAGAAAATTTAGCAACAAACTTTGAGGATTATCGATGTCAAAGGGGCGGACAAGTCCAAAGAAAAAGAGAAGATTCAACTGCTAAAGGAATCAAAGAGTGCCCAAGAGAAGGAGAAGGTTAATAATGCTGGAAATTCTAACCTCTAATCCTATATCCAATGGGATTAGGGTAGCTGCGATAGAAGGAGTTCCAAATCCTATTGGATGAGGGACTCAAACAATTGAAGAACAAAAGCGTGTGAAAAAAGAAGCAGTGGAAAAAGTTCTGGATAATGAGAAGAATGGGAATCCTACTCCTACTAGGATTGTCAAACCTATAGGGATGAGGTTCAAGTTTTGGAAAAGGACAAGGCTCCTAATCCTATTAAATCTAGGATTGAGGAGGCCAATATGAAGTAGTCTACATTGGAGTGGTTTCATAGACGTTTTGGGGCTAATAAAGAAGAAATAAGCCTGGTCAATGTCACATGGAATCACTCATACCATGAAATTCCCTCTCAAACCTTTGAATAATTTGATATTATTGGGGAATTTCAAGAAGTTAATTGAGGAAGACCACTATGGAGTGAAATTCAGTCTCGACTTGTCTATCGGGACCTGCGGGCATGAAATACAGCGTCCCTTGGCAAAAGGGATGCCAATACAAATAATTTACCGAGTGTTAAGGCACATAAATAACTACATAAAAGATATGGAAAAAATATAGAGTAAATGACCCAACCTGTAAGTATGGGTAACTCTGTAAATCGTGAAATACTTATAGTGTCATGCATATACGTATGAATTTTATGTCGTGCATAGGTACATGTATTCATAACATCATCAAGCCTTTGAGGGCATCCCATCATATCATCTCGGCCACTGTGGGTAAAATCATCAACGTATACCAGCTGATCAGGTAGTGGTGCGTATATAACGCCATATCCTTTCCCATATCCCACATACATATATATACACGTATATAACATCATCTGGTCATGGGTCAATGATCATGTATAAATGCACGAAATGCTTGAAATACGTTAATAAAATCTCTCGGTACATCATAAGACTATTATGCTTCTGATTAATATCACAAAATAAACTTATCAACTTACGTATTTTTGAGACCCATGAATAGATAATAGAATAATATGACACATAGGGAGTCAAGAACATAAGCATCTCTAGTATCTATTAGTAGAGTCATTTATGGAAGTTGTGCATTTGCTCGTTTCGTTTGTATCGTATGGATCGTGCCAAAAGAAATAAGGGCTAGCCTTAACATACGTTAATTTCTCATAAGAGCTCGAGAAGGTCGTAGATTAGTCATTCAAACTTGGATAATTTTTGGAATGAATTCCCAAAGAATTATTTTTAACTATGGTGTTGCAAGTTTGTTAACTCATTCATCATAACAATTAAAGAATAAACGTTTATGATGACTTTTCCAGGAATGAAAGAACACCAAATTAAATGTGAATGTTATAGTAGCCTTCAAGAATGAGAGAACAGGGTCTTTAAATGTTTGGAATTTAGAAAGAAAGCTATAGGATCACCTTTGATTGGTTTAAGGCCAAACTTCAAATATACTTACGTAAGTGTCATGTCTATGACACTTAAATGGCCACCTTTCATTCTAAGCTATGAGTCATTTTAATTTGAATGGGGGCTTCCACCTCATGCCCTTAATCTTTATCCAATTAAATTACTTAATTAATTGGGTAATATCTCATTATACAAGAATTATCTTAAATTACTTAAAATATTACTTACTTTTAACATACCTTGTACACCTTACTATCATGGCCATGTAGTACCTTGTATGACACTAGTCCATAAATATCGGGTATTATAGCTCGGACCCTATTTTATCCCAAATTGTCAAGCTTCGACGAAACTCATTTTCTTCGATTTGCTTTCATTCTCACCTTCACGAATTTAATTATCCCTTGTTTGAAATAGCATAATACTTGTAACCTCAAAATAATGTCATTCCCCAGCTTGAGTCGATTATCTTTACGACGAAACCTTAACGTCCAAAAATGCGGGATGTAACATCTCATTCCCGAGTTTTCATCAATTCACTAATGGCATACTTTCATGTGCGAAAACATGGGGTGTAACATCATTCCCCCTTTGGAAAAATCGTCCATGAATGTTGACTGATGCACTTATCATTTTCATAACTTATGGCTTTCGAATACTTTAGTACTGTCATTGCCATCTGGGCAATCGTTATGTGAATAATTCCAAAGTCTTGGGTATTCCCCCCTTTAGTCCTTTTTCTCATACCACAACTTGTGGTCGAAATCTTTCCAATCTCATAATTGTTACTACCTCCTGTCATGCAGCCTGTATGACTCTGATTTTGTAAGTGCGCTTATGAAACTCTTCTCTCCTTTTTCCTCTAGCTTTTAGCCAATCTCTAAGCCTTAATTTATAAACATATACAGAGCTTGACAGTATGTCCCTCTGGGCATCTATAGATATACTTGAAGTTCTTTGCTCGGTACTTTTTTTGAACTTACAAATATTGCTATATCTTATTTCATAGATCTGCTTATCCATTCGTATGACTTTATTGCATCTAAGTAGGTCATACTAAACCACGACTCTTACTTAGATTTATCGTTACTGAGGTCTGCTACCATACTCCAGGTTAGTTTCGTTACTTATCCCATATGTATAAATCTAAGATCTTTAATGCTTCCTCACAACTTGTTCATCTTAAGAGTGACGGCCTAATTTCACCTCATACTTTGTGACTTGTATCCATCTATTGTTGATTCCCCTCAATATTGATCTACACAGTACCACTGATAACTTGAAACCTCTTATGTAATCACTAGGGCTCATGTTGCATCGTGGAACATTTGAAGTGATTTTTCTGATAGACCTAGGGTGATACGATACTATACTTACATACCCGTATTTCATTGCATCCCAATGTTATTCACTTACGTGTGTATCTTAGTCCTGTACAATTCTTGTAATCCCTTTATTTATCACAATTACACCCTCATTCTATTACCAAGGCAGCATTCCATCTATTCGAAATGCTACTAGTCTTAGACTGCTTTGAGTTCATTCGGCTATATTGAGCTTTCTACAACTTAGAGAAATCATCAGCTCTCTTGTTTACATGGGCTTAATCCTAAAGAATTATCCATTCTCGTCACCTTCTCACTTGCCCTTTCTTATCATTACTCATGACCTCCCTAAATCTTGTCGCTCTTTCATACTTTAGTTTGCGATCTATACGTATCTATTTATACTATTCGCAACCTTCCTTCAACTTGTTTGCACCATAAATTTTCTTATGTTATTCTGGAACATTAAGAGAGACACCGCATCGTCTCTAACTCTTGTTTACTCCCTTAACTAGACCTCTAGATACTTAGAAACCATGGGCTGGAAGGTATGTAACTAATGACACTTCTATTATTCCTGGATACTGGATCCCGATGCTTCTAGCCATCTATCTGAAGTACGAATTATTCACAATTTTCTGCCTTTGAGTATCTCGTACGTTGTTCACCTTTACCTTACTTACCATAAAGCCACGCATCACATCTTGTATTTCTTTCATGACCTCCCCTCCACATAGGTATAATTCACATCCACGTCTTGAACTTTTATTATAATACACTCAGCTCTTTACACAATCTCGTGAGAGCTTCATACTAACTTCTTATGATGTTGGGACACTTATAATTGGCTTTATAGTAGAGCCGTTATAGAATATGGCTACAGTACTATCTCTCTTGTACCTCTAATATTAAGAGTGATTCTACAATGTTCTCAATCATGATGTCTATAACTTTTTGGATCCAATAAGCAGACTCCTAATTTACTTAGTTTATGTAACTCTTTGGTTTCCTCTTCCTTTTGATTAGCCTTTATGTAGGTTTAAGCTATCTTCAGATCTATGGCTCATGGCATTTAGTTATTACTTTATCCCTTTATGTACGCTATGGAAAACCATGATATAATCTTCTAATGATTCAATCTTTTGTCTATGATTAGGATCCAATTCCTGCTTTTAACTTATATAGAAGTCTTTTACGGCTGATGATTAATCGAATAATTCCTTTTGTTCCATTTCAGCTTTCTTCAAACGTAAGCACTTGCTTTTCCTGGTCTTTTTGCCCCCTTCTCCATGTATACTTAGCTTATCTAAGTTCTCACGCATGCCGAAGTTTTTGTGCAACTCATATGGTCTCGAATATTACTTTTGGGTTTACTCCCTGATCATTAGCCATGGTAGGTGCAACTTTCTTTTGGAGTGCATACAATTTTGTAGTTAGACTGTTGTTACACAACCATTTCCTCTTTAGGTCACTATGCTTTTATTAAATCCTTCTTCCTTATTTCCTCAACTAGTCTTTCATTGTAGTACTTAGGGGGG